CTCCTCATGAACTCCTTTGGTAATCGATGTTTCCCCTCATTTTAAATGTAAAAACATTTACTCTTGGGAATACTTAGTTCCCATATATTCATTTTGAAAAATGAACTCAACTCTCCTCATCCTCAAACTCAAGTACTCAAGTCTTAAAACAAGTTTTAAAAGATTGTAAAAGACTTCTTAAAATGACTCGAAAGACTTTACTCTTAACTCTTTCTTTGAATTTGAATTATGAATTCAAGGATTATGATTCATGTTATGAATGATGATCTCTCTATATTTAGATGTAGTTTAGAGTGTGGATATAAAGTAGAAAACATAGGTACGATTCAAGGGAACTCACACGACAAGGTCAGAAGGGTAAGAGACCTGACAACCCTGGTGCACTGAGTGCCGTGGTGCGCCAGCCCCTAAACTATTAACTCTGGGTTGGAGCACACTAAGTGGCGTAGTGCGCCAGGTCCCATCCTACAGAAAATGAGTTGGGGCGCACCGAGTGGTGCGGAGCCCCACCCTGTACCTAGATCTTTGGTGATTGTTCTTGCTTCAAATTCATGTTTAACCCTCCTAAAGTCGAACAATTTCCCTCAAACTCTTATGGATTCTTAGACCCAACATAATTACAATGAAATCCACTCTAAATTACTCAAGAACAATACTCAAACACAAGATCCTCATCGCATGAACTCAACGAAAGCTTAAAACTCAAGAACGTAGAACAACGCTTCAAGAACATTCATCAAGAACTTAAATTCATCAATCTTTATGGACGAATTCGAATATTTAAATCATGATTGGAGTGTGGGTGAATGAATCCAACACTATGAAAGCTTACATACCTTGATTTGGCGAAGCAAAATTCTCGATTCGCAAGAGATCTTGTTCGTCTTCCTTTTCTCCTATTTTCCTCTTCTTGAACTCCTCTCAAAATCCTAAGTGTAAATTAGGATTGTAAAACTGACCCAAATCAGATTTGACCCCAAAATATTACTAAAAATCATTTTAATATGATGGGTAAGGAAAAGACTAAAATACCCCTCACTAATTCGGGTAACTTTTCTTAACTGGTCAAACTAACGTCAAACGGGCATATCTCCCATATCCGAACTCAAAATTTAGCAAACTCGGTGGCGTTAGAAAGAGGATTCAAAGACCTTTCATTATATATCTTATAGGATACCTAAATAATCATGTACTGAAAGTTATAGTTGTTTAAAGTTGACCCAAAATTCACAACTCAAGCATAACTTGCAAAATTTCAATTTTTGCTCTTTCCAAATTAGTTCTTTCTAAATTAACTCTTTCAAATACCGAGGTGTTATAATATCTCCCCCTTGGGAATATTCGTCCTTGAATGAGATTACTGTACATAGACTAAGGGTGGTAACATCTAACACCCAGCTCAAACACCCAATATGCAATTTAACACAACATTTCAACTTAAAAGTACCAAGAAAAGAATTAGTACCTTGATTGGGAATTTATCCGGACTCCAAGAGATGTGGGTATCTATTCTTCATCTTCTCCTCAGCCTCTTAAGTAGCTTCCTCAATAAACTGATTCCTCCATAAGACCTTGACTGACGCTACCTCCTTGGTCCTCAACTTGAAAACCTGACAATCTAGAATCTGAATGGGCACCTCCTCGTAAGATAGGTTGTCCTTAATACCAATATCTTCACTCGATCTAATAAGTGAAGGATCGCCCATACATTTTTTCAATATTGAAATGTGGAATACCAGATAGACAGTTGCTAACTCTGACGGTTGCTCCAGCTCATAGGCTATATTGTCAATCCTCTTGGATATCATGTAAGGACTAATATACTGGGGACTAAGCTTCCCCTTCTTGCCAAACCTCATAACACCCTTCATGGGTGAAACCTTCAAATAAACCCAATCATCCACCTTAAACTCCAAGTCTCTTCTCCTAACATCAGTATAGGATTTCTGACGACTTTGCGTTGTTTTCAACCTTTTTTGAATGATCTTCACTTTCTCTATAGCTTGATGAACCAAGTCTGGTCCTATCAATCCAACTTCAACAACCTCAAACCATCCAATATGAGATCTACATCTTCTCCCATAGAGCCTCATAAGGAGCCATCTGGATGCTAGAGTGATAATTATTGTTGTAAGCAAATTCAATGAGAGGTAAGTAATCATCCTAATTACCCTTGAAATCGATCATACACGTCCTTAACATATCCTCTAAAGTATGAATTGTTCGCTCTGTTTGACCATTAGTGTAAGAATGGAAATCAATACTCAAATTTATCTTCGAACCCAAACCTCTTTGGAAAGACTTCCAGAATAATGCGGTGAATTGAGCACCTCTATTTGAAATGATGGACACCGAAACTCCATGAAGTCTTACTACCTCTTGAATATATAATCTGGTACAATCCTCTACTGAAAAATGAGTCTTTACCGATAAGAAATGGGTTGATTTAGTCATCCGATCGACAATCACCTAAATCGAATCATGTTGCCTGCGAGACCGTGGTAAACCAGTAATGAAATCCATATTGATCATCTTCCACTTCCATTACAGAAGATCTATGTTCCGAGCCATACCACCGGACCTCTAGTACTCTACCTTGACTTGTTGGAAATTCGGGCACTTAGCAGCGGACTCTGCAATACACCTCTTCATACTACTCTATCAATAGACTTCTCTCAAGTCACGATACATCTTTGTGGAACCTAGATGAATAAAGTATCTGGAGCTATGAGCTTCCTCCATGATCCTCTCTTGAAGTTTATCCATCTTGGGTACACATAATCTACCTTGATACCTCAACACACCATCTTCCCCTTGTTCAAAATCCATCACTTTTTTATTTATGAACATTCACCTTCAATTCAAGAAAAACAGGGTGTTAGTCTTGTTTCTCTTTCACTTTGGACACTAGTGATAATTCATCCTTATTCATCACCAATACTCCACCTCCATTGGAATCCATTAACCGGACTCTCAATCGTGCAAGTCTATGCACATATTTTGCTAACTCTTTCTTGTTTTTCTCAACATGGGAAGTACTACTCATAGACAATCTACTCAAAGCATCAACAACAACATGCCTTACCAGGGTGATAGAGAATACTCATGTCATAATCCTTGAGTAACTCCAACCACCTTCTCTGTCTGAGATTAAGCTCTTTCTGACTGAATACATACTGAAGACTCTTGTGATCAGTGAACACATCTACATGCACACCATAAACATAGTGACACCATATTTTCAAAGCAAACACTACAACAACTAACTCTAAATCATGGGTTGGGTAATTCCTTTCGTGAATCTTAAGTTGTCTGGAGGCATAAGCTATAACTTTGTCATTCTGCATCAATACACAACCCAGTCCAACTCTGGACGCATTACAATACACAATAAAGCCTTGTGTACCCTCCGGTAAGGTCAACACCAGGGCAATAGTCAACCGCTTTTTCAATTCCTGAATGTTTTTCTTACAAGCTTCAGACCATTGAACTTAATTGTTTTATGAGTCAACTTGGTCAAAGGGGATGAAATAGATGAGAACCCCTCAACAAACCTCATATAATAGTCAACCAATCCCAAGAAACTCCTAATATTAGTTGGAGATATGGGTCTAGGCCAGTTCTGCACTGCTTCAATCTTCTGAGTGTCAACTCGAATCCCATCACCAGAAATAATATGGCCTAAGAATGCCACAGACTCCAGCCAAAATTCACACTTAGAGAATTTAGCATACAACTATCTATCCTTGAGAGTTTGTAGAACTACTCTGAGATGACTAGCATGATCTTCCTCATTCCTCAAATACTTCAGAATGTCATCAATGAATACAAATAAACATATCAAGATACAGTTTAAACACCCTGCTCATAAGATCCATGAACATTGCAGGAGCATTAGTCAAACTAAAAGACATGACTAGAAACTCATAATGACCATAGTGGATCCTGAATTTTGTCTAAGGAAGTCATTTTCTCTTACTCTCAACTGATGATAACCATATCTGAGGTCTATCTTAGAAAAACAACTGGCACCCTGAAGTTGATCGAAAAGTTCATCAATCCTCGGAAGTGGATACTTATTCTTGATAGTAACCTTATTCAATTGACGGTAATCTATACACATTCTATGAGAACCATTTCTCTTTCTCACAAATAAGACTGGAGCGCCCTAAGGTGAGCGAGCCACTTGGTCGAATGAAACCTTTCTCAAAAAGATCTTTCAATTGCTCTTTTAACTCTTTCAACTCAGTTGGAGCCATTCTATATGGCGGAATAGAAATAGGACAAGTATCAGGAAGAATATCTATACGGAAGTCTATTTCTCTCTCAGGAAGGACTCCAGGAAGATCATATGGAAAGACCTCTGGAAACTCACTCACTACTGGAACTGACTGAATATGTGGTGTCTCAATACTAGAGTCATTAACTTGGACTAAGTGATAGATGCACCCCTTGGAAACTAACTTTATCGCCTTAAGGTACGAAATAAAACCACCCTTAGACACTGCTGAACTACTCCTCCATTCAATAACTGGCTCATTAGGAAACTGGAACTTAACTACTCTAGTTTTACAATCAACTAAGGCATAACAAACATGAAGCCAATCCATACCTACAATAATATCAAAATCTACCATGTCTTATTCGACTAAGTCAGCCATGATGTCCTTGTGATTGACAAAAATGATACAATCACGATAAACTCGCTTAGCTAAAATAGACTCACCAATATGTGTGGAAACACTGAAGGGCTCAAGAAGTTGTTCGGGAATAATATCGAACCTCATAGCAACATATGGAGTCACAAAAGATAGGCTCGCACCAGGATCAAGTAAAGCATAAACATCGAAAGTAAAGACTTTGATCATACCAGTGACAACATCCGGTGAATTCTCTTGGTCTTGACGACTCGTGATAACATACAGATAGTTTGCTCATCTGCCTATTCCTGAAGTAACTCATTTAGGTGCAGCTCTGTCTGGCGGATCCGTTGAAGAAGATTAGGCTCTATTGCCTCCATTACCACCTCCATGCCTATTCTTTGGGCACTCTCTCATGAAGTGACTATTCTGACCACACTTGAAACAACCAGTTGAACCATCACGACACGCTCCTGGGTGGTTCCTACCACACTTAGCACACGCAGGAGTCCCATTACCTCTTTGTGCCACACTACGTTGAGACTGTGCAGATCTATCTCTGAAGTTTTGAGAATTTTGATCCTTGAACTCACTTTTGTTCCTTGGTGCAGGTGCACTAACATACGATGAAGTTGGTCTATTTGGCTTTTGCTGAAAAGATGGCTGGCTTGGATTACTCTTCTGTTGTCTAGACTCATTTCATATTGTCTTAGCATTCTTGTTCCGGAACTCTTCTCTATCTCTCAACTTATCTTCCTCAACATGTTGCATATGGATCAGCAGCCTTGTTATGTACATGTCCCCTATCAACATCGCAACCTTACCTTCTTTGATTGACATGCGAGACAACCCAGACACAAACAGACTCATCTTACTCCTCATATCAACAACCATCATCGGAGCGTAACGAGAAAGTTGGGCGAATTTGAGGTTGTACTCATGCACACTCATGGATTCCTGGTTAAGAGTGAGGAATTCCCTTACCTTTGCCACTCTTAGTTCACGAGGAAATAAATGCCCCATGAAGGCATCTTCAAACATAGCCTACCTCACAATTGGTGCACCTTCAACTCGACTCTTCTTCCATTGATCGTACTATACTCTAGCAACGTCCTTCAGTTGGTATGTGGCTAGTTCCACTCGCTCAACATCAACAACATGCATCACCTCAAACTCTTTTGCAACTCTTCCACAAAGTTTTCCAGATCCTCAATGATACTTGAATCGGTGAAGTCTGGAGGATTCAACCTTAAGAACTCATGGATTCTGGATGTATCGGCCACATCCTGTTGATTCTCTCTCTGCTGACCAGCTTGGTTGGCCACCACTTAACTCAACATCCGAATAGACTCTCGTAACTCAGCATTAGTAACCTCTCATTAGGGTTGCACTTCTGGTGCATTAGGAACCCCTTGATCCTGAGGATCAACATTCCTTCTAGAAAGACGACCTCGAACAGCTCTTCGTAGAGGCATGATCTGAAAGATACGCCCAAGTACGAATTAGAAAGAAACTTTATAGAGATGAGGTCTATCACATGAAAAGAGTATGAAAGAAGTGAGATAGTTCATAAATGTCGCAGCCTCCTAATTATAGATGTGACGCGATTCACACTGATAACTAGAGCACTATAGACACGGCTTCATAGACACCCTAGGACTCTTGAACTTTGTGCTCTGATACCAAGTTTGTCACGCCTCAAGCCAATACCCTGGACGTGACCGGGCACTCAAGAACCATTGCTGGCTCCAAGCAAACTCTTGGCCTGGCTCAACACTCAGCGGAAGACTTACTCAACAATAAAAGAACTTTAAAAGTAAACTTAACTCAACTGTCTCAAAAGGTAACCTCAGAATATTGTAGAAATAAAACATTCACTAGCCAAAGTGGCAACTCAAGTCTAGAACATTAACATCTGAAAATGAAAAGACTCATGAACTATTGTCTATCTATCTACGAAGCGTCTAATACTATAAGGGATATCGGGACAAAACCCCTGATCATCCTAACAAAACTAAAATAAATGAAAAATAAATAAGGGATCCTCCGAAAGGAAGAAGCTCACCAAATAACTCTAGAACTGCAACTGGTATCAGCGAATCGCCTGTTGATGACCCTGATCTCTTGTATCTGCATCATGAAACGATGCATGTCAAATGACATCAGTACATTGAATGTACGAGCATGTAAGGGGAATACTGAACATAACATAATAGCTTGAACTTGGAAAGAAGGAAACATACTCACCTAGACTCTACTCAACTCAACGTAGTATAAAAAAGACAATAAAAATGCAGTTTATATAAAGCATTTTAAATAGTAAATAACAACTCAATGTATTTAAAAATACAATAATAACTCAGTTTGTATGTGAAAATACAAAATAACTCTATTTGGGAGATTCTCAAACCGACAACCATCACAATGACCTATGCGATATACAACGCATCGCCCATGCTGTTAGAACTGTCCTATACCTTGCCGGGGTATAAACTCCTCAACTAAGTCAATCCACTAAGATATGATTAAAAAGCAATAAGGAATCATCTAAAAAGTATGTCTCTTTCTACCCAAGTTGGCTACATGGTTTATGAGGACTTTGAGTTATCTGAACTCGTCCCCATAGCAGTGCTCAATACTACTCCCAAAATATAACTTAGCTCATATGTTTAAGAGCATTTCCTCATCCTCAAATTTGAGATTATTACTCAAAAAAGTTTCTCTTAAAAGAGATAGTACTCAAAACTCCTCATGAACTCCTTTGGAAATCGGTGTTTCCCCTCATTTTAAATGTAAAAACATTTACTCTTGAGAATACTTAGTTCCCATATATTCATTTTGAAAAACAAACTCAACTCTCCTCATCCTCAAACTCAAGTACTCAAGTCTTAAAACATGTTTTAAAAGATTGTAAAAGACTTCTTAAAATGACTCGAAAGAACTCTCAAGACTTTATTCTTAACTTTTTCCTTGAATTTGAATTATGAATTTTGAATTCAAGGGTTATGATTCATGTTGTGAATGATCTCTTGATGTTTATATCTAGCTTAGAGTGTGGATATCAAGTAGAAAACATAGGTACGATTCGAGGGAACTCACACGGAAAGAAGGTCGGAAGGGTAAGGGACCTGACGATCCTAGTGCACTTAGTGGCGTGGGGCACCAGCCCCTGAACTACTGATTGTGGGTTGGGGCGCACTGAGTGGCGAGGTGCGCCAGGCCCCATCCTACAGAAAATGAGTTGGGGCACATTGAGTGGCGCGACGCCCCACCTTGTACCCAGATCTTTGACGACTTTTCTTGCTTCAAATTCAGGTTTAACCCCCCCCCTCCCCACCCTAAAGTCGAATGCTTTCCCTCAAACTCTTATGGATTCTTAGACCCAACATAATTACAACGAAATCCACTCTAAATTACTCAATAACAATACTCAAATAGAAGATCCTCATCGCAAGAACTCAATGAAATCTCAAAACTCAAGAACGTAGAACAACACTTCAAGAACACTCATTAATAACTTAAATTCATCAATCTTTATGGACGAATTTGAATATTTAAATCATGATTGACGTGTGGATGAACGAACCCAACACTATGAAAGCTTACATACCTTGATTTGGTGAAACAAATCCTCGATTCGCAAGAGATCTTGTTCGCCTTCCTTTTCTCCTCTTTTCCTCTTCTTGAACTCCTCTCAAAACCCTAAGAGTAAATTAGGATTGTAAAACTGAATTTGATTTAACCCCAAAATATTACTAAAAATTGTTTTAATCTTATGGGGTAAGGAAAAGACCAAAATACCCTCACTAATTTGGGTAACTTTCCTTAACTAGTAACTTCAAACGAGCATATCTCCCTCATCCGAACTCGAAATTTAGCAAACTCGGTGGCTTTGGAAAGATGATTCAAAGACCTTTTATTTTTTATCTTAATAGCCACCTAACTCAACCTGTACTGAAAGTTATGGTCGGTTGAATTTGACTCAAAACTCACAACTCAAGCATAACTTGCAAAATTTCAAGTCTCTTTCCATATTAGTTCTTTCTAATTTAACCAATATTTTCTATAAACAATTTTTGTTTTCTTTATAGGTATGATAGGATAACATTTAAACCTATTAAGAATAACAATCAAAATATGATTACAAGCATAATTTTGCTTTACCTATTTTGTCTTTATTTAAATCAATAGCATATAAATAAATTTATATAGTCATGAAATATGGATGGATGGAAGAAGGTTGGGATAGAATCAGTACATAAGCATGTATTAAAATATTTAAATTACAAAAACATATTGATTACATCTTCATGTAATGTAAAATCATATATATGAAATTAAAACGTTAAAGAATATAAACTTGTTGAAGATATACAATAAACAAAGTTTGAAGTCAACAACACATCTCTCCAAAATATTAAAATAATATGGAGTAACCTAGATATGAAGCTAGATACATTACAAGAAAAAAAACGAAAATAGAAATATATACAAAGGTCGATATTGTCTATAATGTTATATACACCACGTAAAATACAAATACATAGGCTTATGAATTGGAAATATAGAACTCAAAGTTTTTATTTTTTTTCTTCCTAGGCAATACTTTGAAGTAGTTGCATTCTGTCAAGTCGATTCCAAAAGATAATCTAGATAGTTGACTTTGGGTTGTGCAATGTCTTTGAATATGTCTATACGTCTTATTACCCGTTTGGTAGGAGATAATAATCAAAACTGTTCATGGATTAAAATTTAGTCCAACAAAAATATTGTTTTGTTACTTTATTTAATCTAATCCATGGATTAGTTATACCTTATACAAGGTCTTATTTTATCCTTAGAAAAGGGAGGGATAACTAATCCAAGGTTTAACAATCCTTGGATATATAAGACCCCTAAATTACTAAACTATCCCCAAATTTGTTTTCCTAATTAAATTTTTTTTTGTAATTTAATGCTCTCATTTATTTATATGAGAATATTTATAAATATTCTTTTAAATTCTCCAAATTCGTTCCATGTAATTTGATGATTTCACAAATTAATATTTTTTTCTCCATGTTTGGTTTGTTATATTGGGCTGATTTTTTCATTTTTTTTTAATGTAGTTCGTCGATTGACCACTTGAACTATTTTTTTAAAAAAAATAAGCTTTGTGTATTTGAACAATTTAAGTAGCCTTAAATCTATGTTAAGTTTAAAGTATATTTGACCAACAAAAAATTAGAAATATACCGTGCCATCAAGGATCTCTATGGTGGCCTATCACACCTCAAAATTAGTAATAATTTTTTTAATATATTTTAGTATTTAACTTGACAAAATAAATGAAATATAAAATCTCATAATAACTCAAAGATATAATAGGAAAGAAACTTTTTCTAGAATTTTAAACCAAACATAAGATTAAATGGGAAATAATGAACCAAACACTTGATAAAAACTAATTCCTGCATTACTAAACCCTACATTACTAATCCATTCATTATTAATTCATGCATTAGTAATCCCTGTGCATCTCTGTACCAAATGACCCAAAGAGTATTAAATACTCTTTGTTCTTGACCGAAAAGTTATTGCTAAATTTCTCAAAACATTTCAAGTTAGTTTGTGATGAAGTTTATGAAATTTATTTTTGTTCCCACCATTGCATGATGGCAGTGTAGTTGTGATCAATAATTTTATTTACTGAAGTTTGCATCGATTTGGTGTTTATATTTATATAAATATTATTATTTTAAAAAAAAAACATCTAATTTTTTCTATTGGCATAAGATAATTCATTTAATAATCACATAAATTAAACACAACATTAGAAATACTAGTTGTAGGAGGATAGTCCATGACAATAAAATAATTTTCACATTATATTCTACTCTTACTTGAGTTTTCTTTTTGTGAAACGTAACATGTCTAGCAACATTTATAACATTTTGTTTTTTTCCACTCGTAGGCAACGTGCTAATTTTGTATCCATCTTCAATTTTTCAAGAAATATGAGCTTGATAGGGAATATATCTATTTCACAAGAATAAAATCAC